ACTGTTTTGTAACGGTAACCATCAGCAGCCAATTCAGTTCCTTCTCCAACAGCGGGCTCTACTGGCTCATCTTGAGCCAATTCAGTTTTGACCTCAGCAGCAGGCTGAACGGATTCTTCTACAGCGCTCTCTTGGACTTCCTCCGCGGGTGGCAAATATTCATTTTCAGGTAATTCATTTACATCACGACGATGACGAAGTTTGAGGCGATGTACTGCCTTATAACGGTAACCATCATCGGCTAGCACAGTCTGTTCTTGTGCACCCTCGTCGACTGGCGCTAAGTATTCTTGTAYAGGCAAACTGTTGTCCACAATGGGTGGCAGATAGTCGGCCGGCAATGTAGCCGCACGAACAACTGCTATCACAGCAAATGCAATCGGAAGGAATCTCTGCAATATAAAAGAGTTTGTATAGTATTATTTCTATTTGCTATTTATTTGTTTATGATTTGTATGCGTTGAGCTATGCTTTCACTATCCTTTGAAAAAGCATAGCTTGCTTGCGTGGTGTTGCTGTTGGATTTCGCTTACCATTATTGCTGTTTAATGCTACTTAATGATTGAAGGTAAGAATGTGTTATGCTTTAATTGCAAAAAGTACATGTTATTTATACCCAAAAATATTTTGTGTTAATTTTAATATAATTACCGAAATATGAGCAAATAAATTGCTCTATCTACATGTGTGTGTGTGTGTGTTACGCACTCGCAATTACGTACACTTTAGATTTATTACATTTTCATACATACATTGTATATATGTGGTGCGGTGTATGATCGTTTTGAGCATCCCAAATGAGATGAAGTGAAGACTCAGCATTTGGATGCGGTATTTTGTTGCTGGAGTTAATTTGCTATTTAATTATAGTGCTACCAACAAGCGCCCACTGCTCAATTACGAAAGAAAAAAATCGAAAGTAAACAAATTGCCAAGTTTAGCGGTGTTTAATGAGTTGTTGCTGGTGTCACTGCACACATACATGCATACAGATAAAAATGACGATACCGAAATGCGGTCGGTCGATGTTTAAGCGCAACCTATTTTGTTGTTTTCGTAATTTATATAAACCATATGTCTATGTGTATATGTGTATTGGGCATTCTCAATTTCATGTATGTGCCCATAATTTTGGCAGTTGTGCGCATGCGCGCGGGTTGCAGAAAGCATATTCAATCCAATTCGGATGCTTCATAGCCCGTTTTCAAGTTCAAATCTAACATACATACATATGTATCTTTCAATTGTCTTCAAGTGGCGTTCTTCAAAATTTTTGCGTGTTTCATATGTTTTGTTGTGTTTCTCTTTTTACGTGGCTGGTTTTTGCTCCATTCATGTTGACGGACACTATTCAAGACGGATTTAGAGTTTAGTTCAATAGCCATTGTTTATTTTCATTTATTTGCAAAACTAATTCAGAAATTAACAAAACAAATAAAATTATAATAATAAATAAACAAAATAAAAGGGCAAAATTTGTCGGTCAACTACATTTCTATGTGAGTGAGTATGTGCGTATGTTTGCATTTACATATGTTGCCATGCGCTAGCACTCAATTCAACAATGTTACATAAGCGTGTACAGGTGTATGCATGTGTGTCTGTCCATTAAACGCTTGGCGTCGCAAATACCTTCAAATCTGCCATTCAGCTTGCCGCTCGCTCATCAGCTGGCTTTGCACAGTCAGCATTCCTACACGCACACATACACACATATGTATTAATATGCATATAATCGATACAGCTATGAGTTTACATACAAATGTACAAAGGTATTTACGCAAATGTGAGCAAAAGTCAAAAAAGACAAGCAAAAATCGGGTAGCAATCAATGGGGTTCGCGTATGGCCAATTCCACCGGAAGTTCGCAAACTACGTTGTGGCGCGTAAATCGTTAGAACAATTATCGTAATTGTTGCTTGTCGGTGGTTTATTTCGCGTTTGTGTCAAATGTGAATTCTTCGGAATCTCGCAATCAGTCTAAAAAACTTGTTTGCGCTTAAACGCTTCGAATCAAAACATAAACGTGCTTCTGTGCAGCTATTTAATTTTGAAAAGACGGAATTTAAGAGGTATTACTTTTATTTTATTTACAACAGAACAATTTTGAATTATGTCTTTTATTTACATATATGTACATATGTACATTTCTATTAAGTTTGATAAAAATCTTAAATTTGATTTTATGTTTAAAAGGTTACTCTAGAAGTTCCAGGGACTCCTGTCCAAATAACAAACTCACCCACTACCCATAGAGGCTTGGTGATCCATGTCATCGGTAACGAAGTCTTGTCGACATATTATATTAAAGAGGAAATTCTATTTGTCTACGTGTTGGCTTGAGGTTCGCTGGCTGCCCCAGTGCCAGGATTAGGTACGATTGTACAATCAGTCATTTATCTTACATCGCATAATAATAGAAACCACAAAGAGAAATAACGAAACCCGATAACGGATAAGTTGAATTCAAGTATTTGTTTTAATTCGCAACAAAGACGAAATATCTGACACAAGCGTTTAAAATATTTTCGAAAAAGTTAAAAATCTACATACTGAAAGATACTAAATTTTCATTTCAACGAAAAAGTTTGACCCATATTTTATCTGTTATAAAAAGCTTCCATTCGTAACCTGCACCAAAAACTATGGCAGAAGTAAAAGGCAAAGCTCGTTTCAACTTTCTATCTGCTTTGACTTTAGCAATGGATGGTTTACAGATCCATTTTTATAGATATGAGAATGTCTGAATTAAATCAGTTATTTGAGTGTAAYACAGGGTTTGTCCGGAAAGCAAGAAAATGAACACCATGCTTATTGTCTTTTTTGACATTAAAGGGATCGTTCGCCATGAATTTGTTCCTCATGAACAAATCGCCAACGCCGATCGAAGGGTCAGTCGGAATTCTATTTAAGTTTTAAAACAAAATTTTGAAAAAAAGATAAATTTACCTCCCGTCCATAAATGAATACGAAAAGAGAATCTCCGCCGAAGATAAGCATTAGTTGAATTTGACAAGTTATTGACAAGCTATTGACATTATCTAAAATTAGTATAATCGCCATAGGCAGCATTAGCTATTGCCAACAATAGGATCTAAGTGCTGACAGATCTTTCAATCGTTAATCATGCGGAAAAAGAATCAGAGAATTAATAGTGCTTTAGTGTTGTTGAACTCTTTAATTTTTAAGCGGTAGATACCTATTATGCTGTGGTTAACTCGGCTATAATCGCGTAAGCTATTTACGCCAATTAAGAAGAAGAAGAAGAAGACACCTATTATTATAATCGGAAATCATAGCATATTTTAATTTTTTTAATATAATTTTGGAAAAGGTTTATTTTCTAAATATCTTAGCTAAAATTGCATTACTTTTGGTTATATGAAAAAAAGTAATTAACAACGCGTATGTGCATATGAAAATAATATTTATTGTAAGAGAAAATATGAGGTCGAAATAGGGAGAATTCTTATATTCATTGAAAAGAAAAAAAAATATAAAACATAAAAAATATAAGATGCGATTATATCAGCACGACTTCAAAAGCAACTCAGTCGTCCAATTGGCAGAGGGAGGCGGTGCCCCGATTGATCCAGTGCATTGGTGCCTTACTGCAATTCAATTGCATGTACATCACAAAATTGGTGGAGTGACCAGTCGTTGAGAGTACACCACGCCTCTCGCTTGTCTTATAAACCGGGCAATCGTAGATGGTACGCCCTTTGTCGTCTTCCTTGGCCGCCTGTCCACCATCCTGTGACTGTTTCAAGGTGGGACGAAAATATATCACCGGCAATGTATCGAACAGAATTTTTGAGTAGGATTCATCTAGCTCTTGGGTTTCACGATTGTAGCGTGCGCCTTCCAAGAAGAGACCCTGTGGGACGGCAAGTAAAATATTAGTCTTGTTCAGTTTTTTTTATGTAAATACCAAAATTTGTTTTTGACTTTATGAAATGAGAAATAGCGATTTTTAATATATAAAATGATGTCTTGTAGTAATATTTTTTGTGYCGACAATTATTTTCTWATTCCCTGTCTCATTTAATTAAAARGCTTGATTTTGSGTTTCTTTAATTTAAAAGAAAAGGTGATGATTAAAGAACTAGTATATACACGTACAAAAATTTCTATAGTTTAAATCTTACATTGAAAAATTTTGTCTCATCATTGATAGACAGTTGCTCCTGTGTAGGTTTGTTGTGTGTAAGCATGTGTAATAATAATATTCATGAGTATATATGCATATATTAATAGATGACATTTTTATAGTAATATCGTATGTACTTATGTATAAAAAATCTTAAAATGTAAGCATCGGCATAAATCTTCACTGCTTAACTCACACGTATGTATGCGCCAAAGCTTGGTAGTTTTTCAACTTCCGTCTCGAACTTGGTCACTTCGAATTTGATTTCAACCATATCAATTTGAAAAGTGTTCTTTCGTGAGTAATTTTGTAATACACCAGTGATAAAGGATTGAGTGAAATAAAAACCCGACAGCCAATAAACAGTTGGTTCGCCCTCGTCAATCCAACGTTGAAAGAATTCCAAGCTAGAAGAGCGAAAAAGGTTTTTTACAAGCAAAATGAAAGCAGCTCGTTAAAAGACAAGTGTTTTCAATTTCGCTAAAAAGTACTTAAATGAATGTAGCCAAACACAAATGATGATACTGCCGACTTATTATATGGAGAAATTATAATAAAAGTTAAGTTTTTAATATCTTGGTAATATTGTAAATATTTCAAATCTAATTTCTTCCAAATTTTATTAAAACGTATATTTGCCTTGTATTATTTCATATATAATAATTTCTAAGCAACATCACAACACTTACTACGATATCTACCTACGTCACTGCCATACTATGATGATAAGTAGAGTGTGCATACGAATCACAACGAGTGCTTTCAAACGAAGCTCAATGTATGAGTATTTGTTCAAATACTTCTATGAATTGTGTTCAATCAGCTTAATGCGCAAATAATTCGATATTATTGCTAGGAAATACAAAATAGAAGAATCTGCTCAAAGTGTAATGGAAGCAAAAAAAAAAAAAAATAAATAAATAAATAAAATAAAATAAAGGCACTGCGATGTGCAGAATCGTTATAAGTAAAATACCAATATTGTTACTAAACTTGAGACTTATTGTGGAGTTTCTATTTAAAAATATCTGCTCTTCAACGCAGAAAGAACTTTCAATAGTTTCTTAATTAGATCATTATTAATTCTAAATATAAAAAAAATTATCGGCTAATAAATTTGCACAATGCCGTCAAATGAGATGGAGTGGGTAGTTCGGGTTCATGGTTAGAGATGGTCAAAGCATGGAATCGAACTATGCTGAGTTAATATAGGTATTTTGTAAACGTTGCAAAACACCGAACTATATAGATTTAGAGATGGTATATCAAAATATATTTAATGAATCCAAATAGTTTAAAGTCGTCGTTATAATAGAAGGGAAGAAGAACTAATAAAAACCTATTTGGGAATTCATTCAGAAAGTTCAACTAACACCACCAACAAATCTATACTTTAGACAGAATTGGTATCAAGTATTCTATAGCGAACATATCTCTACTGGTGGGTGACGTCGAAACGTCAAGCATCGCAGTGTCCGAACAACTTTTCACACAATCGTTGCCACCRAGTTCTTTGTCGGCTTAAACAATTGACAATAAATTGTATGCTTAATTTGGCGGTGTCAAGAATTGGAACGATTCTTCAAGAGATTTCGCGGTGAACGGGAGTAAGAACTGAGCATTATGAAGTGAACAACGCTGCTTAATATATTTTTTGCCGCACAATTGAAGACATAAAAAATTATTGTAAAAAATGATTTCCTTGGTAATAAATTTAATTTATGCAAATATGCAAAACTTTGGGAAATAAACAAAACTTTAGAATTAATCAAAAAGCTTATATGTATGTATGTATAACTGAAACTTGATCAACTTACCGTGTTAGGAAATCCGTAACGTAGCTGCCCAGTGGCTTGAGCGATGGGTAGCTTTTCTTCAGCCAGTCGGCTGGTAATTTACCGATCACCATTGATGAATGTGTGCGCTCCAATTCGGGTATCATGGCGATTTGACCTTGTATGGCTTTTTGTACGTTGACGAGACTTTTGCGTATGTAATCCAACAAGCGATTGAATCTGTGGCAAGTGGCGACGTAAAAAGCAAATATATAAATACGCCAATTTAAACACAATGGAGGTTGCATATATATATATGAAAAATTAGCCGCAGCTTGCTCTTATGCGAATCGTCTACTCAATTGTGTTTAATTTTTGGCAAAGTAAACAAAGGTGTCTTCAAAAAGTGTTTATAACTTTTCTTTGTTAAACTGGTTACCCACTTTTTTATTTCTTTGGAGCTCAACAGTTTATTAAATGCGATTGATTTCAAAGAATTGATTTTGATTTCATTTTATAATAATTCATATAGTGACTGAAAATATTTTTCTATATTCGCGTAAAATTTCGCACCTCCATATATGCTTTATTTTTTAATCCGAAATAAATGGTGAAGTGGCATCAACCTGTACCAAAATATATCTCTATAACTATCTTCATAAGTTTTCCTCCAATAAAAGTTTGCATAAATGTTCTAAGCATTATGGGTATGGAATTGTGTTCGTATCCACTGTAAATCCAGGCACTGTAAACGTTCCAGAGTATTTCTGGGAATTTAGCCCCAATATCTTATAGAAATAAGTTTACAACATTTACATTCTGTGGAGTACCATAAATAGAAGGAATAACAGGTAAAGCAACAGGGGTATTAATTTAGAGCACTCTATCAAGCTTAGTACTTATGCTTTAGTTAAGTTGCATCATAAGTCAAATTTCATGTCAACAAACATTAAAAAAAATAATGGGTAAGATTTAAGCGTACAGTCAGACTTTCAAATACCAAAAAATGGGCCCAACAGCTGAGCAGGGTATTGAAAAGACTTAAGGTACACCCTAATATATGTATAGACAAACCATCAATCTACTTACCTTATCAGCTCTTGTCGCAGTACCGTATTCATGGAATTTGTATACATCACCGGATACTTTTGACCCACTTCGGTAATATTAAAGGCTTGTGGTAGGCGTGACAGAATTTCTTTGCATATGGCAAATGCCGGGTCAACGCTGGCGCCACCCGCTGCGCCACTTGCTTTCACTGAAGCCATTAAATCCGTTTGGGTAAGTAATACACCTCCAATCAACTGTGTTTTAGTGTAGTGGAAACAAATTTATATTTAATAGATGAGATTTGAAATAAATATGCGCCCGTCCAGAGCTTTCGTTGCTAAGTGTGCAGATCTGTGTGTGTGTGTGTACTTACGCTGTTGGTTTCCTTGTTGTTGCGATTGATATCGGCATTTTCGTGTAAACCGAAAACTTCCGGATGAGGACTAAGTGCAAACGTCGAAATRTATTCGAGCGCGTTGAGACGAGTTGGATTTAGGGGCACACGGTAGGTGGCGGATTGTGATAAGGGATAACTGCGTGSATTCGAAATAAATAAATGATGGAGGTAAATGCATGAAAATGCTTAGATATTATTCTTCCGCGTTAGTTTGGGAAATAATTAAAATAAGTGGGTTTTAAATATTTTGCAGAATATGTTTTTATTTTGTATAAAAAGTAAGGTGACTTCTGATAAAAGAATTAAAATTTTGTATGTATTTCAATTTGGAAGAAGTGTGCAATTATATATCATTTGTTTGTTTGAATTTTCTAAAAAATAAATATTATGGTGCTTGATATATGATTTCGAAACTTTCGCAGTTTGTGATTTCATAAATTTTACTTTCAAAAAATTCGTAATTTTCGATATTATGAAACCAGAATTGTCGAAAATTTGGATTGAAAAAATTTCGAAATTACATTCTAAAAATTGTTTTCATTTATTGGAAGGTAAGGTATCACATTTTCGAAGTTTCGGAAGTTATAAATTTTACATTTATTCTTACAGCGTTAACGAAAATCATGATTTGCGAATTCAGAAAATTTTTAAAAATTTTTATGAAGAAAGGTATGCAAACTTTAATAACAGGAGTTTTCTATATAAGAAAAAAAGATTTCGGAATTTTCGAAGTGTTTGGAATCATCAATTTCGAGCTTCCTGTGACTCAGGACAGGGAAAGTAAGAACTTCAYGATTTTCGAAATTTCGAAATTACAACTTGAAAACTGTTAAGATATCTGAATTCCGAATTTTTCGTAAAACTTTTGTAGTTTTTAATACTTGAGAAGTTATCGATATAAAAACATAAATATGAAAAAAYAAAAAATTTTTTTAGTAAATAAATTTMGAATTTTATRCACACAGAGAAAAGATGTTACGAAACTTCGAAGTTTCGAAATTACAAGTTTAAAACTATTAAACATTTTTTTCGAATGAGAAGATCCGAATTTCTTCGTATTTTTTTAATTTTTGAATTTGATTTGATTTCTGAGAACTCAAATCAATTTTAGTATTCTATAATTTTTTAAGTCATAAGTACCAAAATCGATTTTATATGTGAAGAAGAAATTATTAAATAAATGGCTTTCGATATTTTGTAATCAAGATTTCAGAGTTSAGAGTTTTAAATTAAACCTCACACTTGAGCAAAAAGTTATTATACTCTCGTTTTCAATAGTTTTTGTAGAACTAAAGGTACTRGGCTGTTGAACATGAAGATTCTTCATCATTTATGTATCACCGTGGATGGGTTTTCATTAAAAGTTCGAAAGCATAACAAGACTACATATATTTGGGAATGTGTGTTTACTTGTTCCTTTATGTGTGTATCTGCTAACTCTGCGAATTTATGTGAAAGAATGTGTGACATTGTCACGGACAGCCTTTAAAATCGAAAATACACGTGACATTCCATAAAATTGGCAAAATTCAATATTAACAAAAAAATAAAAAATAAAAAAAACTGGGATAAAGATAAGCACATGCCGCAAACTACTGTCCTTCTTACATGTGTTTCGCTATCCTCTACTTCTTTTGCTGAACAAACAACCAGCAGTAATAATATTACAAAGCTCAAATACAGCGCCGAGAATACTTACTTGTCCATTTCGATTGTGGTCGGATTATATATCATGTTGAGCAGTGAAAGGATTAAGCGGCGATCCTTGTCATCCGTAACACGCCCACCATAGTTACATTCGCCGGTGAGATAAACATGTCCACGGAACGGTATGCTCTTGCTTTGTGCGATGAACATCTTCAGCTGCATCAGCGATATTCTGTTGTGGGAAAAATGTCACCGAAGTGAGCGAATAAAAACGCGAAATGCTTGAAAAATATTTATTAGAAATAGCAAAAGCACAACAAAGCGACCAGCGGTCGGAGGTGCTGTGAAAGGAAAACCATATCTGTGTAGGATTTGTGGTGGAGCAGCGTTTGACATTGCCAATTGGCGAAATGTGGTGGGCAGCAGAGTAGCGAAATTAGAAAAGCACTTACATATCTGCCGGGTTCAGCTGACAAATATGAAAATAAGCTTGTAAGCAACTAAAAAATTGCTTTTCACAGTGCATTTCCGAAGCTCCAAAGTAATGCTGACATTTGAATAAAATACCCACCTAGCATACATAGCAATATGCTTGACATTTCCTCCCACAAAATAATCAGACAACCTACAGCAAGTCAAATTACGTTTTGCCTTTCAYTACATAACCACATACAAAAATACCACTGTAGCACTTTTAGTGGCCTTTTAACATGTCGACCTCACTTACTTCAAATCCGCCTCACTGAACTCGTACGGTATATTCCAGCCAAGCGGTCCGAACTCACGGCGCTCCTGCACCACAGCGTGGAARAAGACTAAGGCGAAGACGCCGCGCAGCCAGCACTTATTTGCCATATCCGAGTACAAGAAGGCATTCGTAAAGAATTTATCGCGTACCAGGGGATCGGAATTGAACGACCTAAACATGTTCGCTTTAAGACCTTTTGGCGGTTCATTTGTCATCTTCACCGAATTCTGTAGCACCGAGACGGGAAACACATTGCTCGGATATGAGGTACACCACAGCCTATAGTCGGGATGTGCTGCATCCGCCAGCGTGGTGTCATTGCAAATGCGCTCTAATTCGCCCATCCAACTGACGGCGACGTGACAGTTTTGCAAAACCACCCAGTGGCCATAGCGATTTGCTTCCAATATCATTTTCTCGGCACGTGGACCTTGACCTTGACCCAATGAAATCGTTTTTGTCCTGTGAAATATTCGTTGGGGAAAATTTAGACAATTTTTGTATGCATAACGGTATGTGTACATGTGTAAGGGAAAATATTTGTTTTTGTGATCAGCATGTTATAACGACATGATTCAATGTGTAAACACAGACTTTTGTGTGGGCACGAACTGGGCGGCAATTCATCCGTCTACATGAATGGAGAAAATTTGTTTAATATATTATATTATATATATGAATGCGAGTCATGGTTCCTGTAAATTCAGATAGCYTATATTTTGAATTATATGAAAAATAATTTCTTTTCAACTCTGGTTTACGAGAGCTCTTGAAGTGGGAGTGGTTTTYCTATTGTAAGTAGTTGTCGCCATAATGTCTTTTCAGCGGAGTCCTGAGCTGAGCCCTGAGCTGAGTAGGGTAAATATTGAAGAGATGTGTGAAGGTTGGTTGGAAAGTTCAGATGGTTTCAACTGGGACGATACTACTTTTTTCTTTATGCTCAGCTTTGTAAGTGAATAAACTTGGATTGGCAGGAAAGAGTATCAAAGGAGACCCGAATGAGTGCACCTGCCAATCTTGGTCATAGTATTAAATCATATGCGTTTTATTTCTTCTTGAAAACCAAATGTCTAAAAAACATCATTTATAATAGTTGACGGTATACAGGCGTCTACTGCCTTGGGCTCCTACTTAGAAAAACGAATAGCAMTTTTCTCAAGTATTATGTAGTATACATTCAGCAATTACTCGCCTTTCCTGAGATTCTTAAAAAAAATGATATCTATTGTAAGATGCTCGTTRGATCAATACAACTTCCATTTTTTTATTAAAATTGAATAATTTGCTCTGCTGGTGTCTGCTTATGAGGTATTTGATTAGAAATTTCGCTGTCCGAACTTGTTTGACCAACGGGCGATTTCCTTTCTTACGTAGAATGTCCAAAAACTCAAATTCAATATACAATTTTCGTTAGMGGGAATTTATATGCTTATGTCACAAACGGTTTGATAATTACTTTGAATGTCACGAATATGTATGCATATATAATCGTAAGACGAGTTGCTCTATGTGTATGTACGTAAGGTTGGTCCTTCAATGTAGAAATAAAATTTAAAACTATGGTTTGTATTATACGTTTATATCATCAAATACATTACCATAAATATAATTCCCTTAGTAGTTTGGATGTCTGATCAACGCTCAATAATAACTACCTCAATTCGAATATGCGTATAGATTTTTTGGTCAGCGGTGTTAGAGTAAATAAGAATTCAGTTAACAAAGAGCGTAGCTCGATTTCGGTACAAGTCATCCGCTTGCTCATTTTTTATGGCAGCTTCATGCTGTAGTTTAACTATATCAATGGTGGCAATAAATGAGCGAGAAGRGCGTATGTTAAATTTCGARCGATATCTCAAAAACTGAGGGTTGCACRTGTTTATATCGACAGACGGACCCAGCTTGTCACTCTGATCATGCACATGCAAGTATATACTTATGTAAGCATGTCATAGGGTCTCTGCTGTTCCCTTCTGATAGGGTATAAAAATGCACTCATGTTTAATATAAAAATTGTGGATAGTCTGAAAAATCCAAGTCGTCGTAAATCCGAATTTTCGGATAATTCTACAAACGAATAWCAAAACGATATCTGTGTTTTCCGATTTGTATCCTTCAAATGGATAATCTGTTCTTTATGACTTCCGAGTGGTTAAATAGCACCACAATGTTAATGATTGAGGTACTGAGTTCTAAAAAGACCAATTTAATAGTTTAGGGACCACCGTAATATACTACCAAACCATACATAATCCACGTATCATCTCATTCGTAAACTCCATTTGTCACTTAACTCGCGTGTGTCGTCATGTCGTTTGTACCGGGGAAATATGAAAAAATGCCATAATAAATGAAATCTCCGCATCCGAATTCGCACTCATATAACGGTACTCATTATAAGTTTACATTGATTGCACATTTTCGCTATTGACAATCATCGTGAGCAATTAAAAATTGAGTGCATTATTCAGGAATAGTGACACTCGACTATGACATATAGCAGACAAGGACAAACTAAATGAAAGTAAGAACAACAACAAGGAAAAAGGAACATGCTCGCTGTCTGCAGACTATGTAGACCAATGTGGATTTAATTACAACTTCATAAACTTGTTGGATTTTCATGCTACTTCGGTGCTTTCGTTGCTTTCCTTGGCTGGGGAGAGGGCTACTGCTTAGTGTACGTGCGATTGCTTAACATGAGTGATTCAGCTCGGCAAAGAGAAATTCGATGAAAATGCTCAGCAATAATACGCCAAATAGCGGTACTTGACAACGCTCGTACGTACCGTGACGGAGGTACAAAAACTAGCTGACAATTTATTGGACGTTGAGCAGGGAGCTCGCTGCTAAATAGTTACCAGACAGCCTGGGCAAGGCCACGAAGGAGGTGTGTATGTATGTATGCATTTGAAACCACTTGGCAGCTGAAACTGTGTGTCGTTTGTACTTATTTGTGTGTGTGTGTGTGTGTGTGTGTGTGTGTGTGTGTGCGTGATTGACCATCGAACGAGTTCTCTAATTAACTTACTTGTCATACATGTTACGCTGCTTGGCGTACATGAATA